AGGACGGCACGTAAGCGATCGGAGATAATTTCCCGCCGCGGCTATATAAACAGAACTTTTTATTTAAGATCAAAGACGACACCGATCTTTGCTGTAGACGAAATTACTTAATGGGCGAATCTTACATGAAAAGAAACAGGAACCCATTGCAACGTGGCTACAACAACGAACCCATTAAAAATGAGAAGGAAAAAAGTCGAAAAGAGCACCAGAAATTGCTTGTCATGCTCGAACGCATTTTAAATGAAGGGGGCTGTCGAGTCGATTATTTGTCAGAATTAAGGTATTTTGTGTTTTGTTTCGCCACCTGCCGTAAGTGAAGGGGAACGAATCAGTGAATAACTTGAATATAGAGCAAGTAGAGTTGATCACGCCCTTACATAAATTGTCTGTAACGGAAAAGCACCCGCGCAACAGCAACAAAAGCAATTTATGGTCGTAAAAGCTTAACGGACTACGCCCCTATGACCGCACGCGGAAAACATCTCTTTTAAGACTTCAAAAATAGTTCAACTTTGTAAGGCGTCAACCATCCAATTTGAATACATCTGCCTGAAAAATGGTTTTCTTTTTGGTACATTAGTAAAAAATCAAATAATAATAATAAACTGCAATCATTTCACTAGCTGAGAAAATAAACTTGGTCGCTGCAATTTCACTGTAGCTGGAGAAATTTCTCGCCAACTGGTTATAAAAGCCACATTGGTTATAAAAGCCACATTGCCTCGTTGGTTTACTATTAAGCTGAGATGTTTTGCCTTTGTCCTCACCTATGCTGACTTCAAAAGAACTTATCATTGCAATAACCTCGGGATTTTAAGCGTTGCACTGAATAACAGATGAAAGAAAAGTTCTTCGCAACACTTACTTACCTTTCTTCAGCATGATTCCCGAAAGGAACGAAAGCCGAGGCGGTGAATTCAACTTGAGAAATATGGCTTTAAATGACTGACATCCAGGCCATCCTTGTGAATTGAAATGGCTTCTTTATGACTGTTAAACTCAATGAAAGCCGCTTCTTGTAAAAAAAAAAAAGGCCAATTTGCGATTTTATCTCTTTCTTAAAGGCTTACAAACTCCTTAGCCGAGTAAAGAAAGAGCTGAGCTGTTACTCAAACGAACCGGGACACTCAGTAGTCCGTTTTTTGTCGTTTTTAAAAGCACGAGTACTGTACGGCGAGGTTTTATTGTTTAACCTTCCCTTTCACCTGATGGCCATTTGTACACTTTTACGCTTTTGCCATTTAGCGGGCCATGGATACAACGTGTTTATCATTCTACATTGTCAAGTTAACTCCACCCGGATTCATTAAAAGGGACACTTGTACTCCCCTGAGATAGAGAAATCTTGTTTATCGAAAGAACACTATGATCTCCTATTGGCCAAGGACGAGTGTTCTTTCAAATGGTCATGTGTTCCTTTGTTTGATGCACGATGTCGTCTGTCGAAACACCTTTTGTGCTTCTAGAAAGAAACTTTAAGTCTTTTCACTTTATTTGAAACAACCGAAAAAGGCTCTCTCGGCCTTAAGAGGAATACTGATTTCGGAAAATGACCATCCTCTCACCTATACGATTTAGTAATTTCCGTTCCCTCAGGCCAAACTATTCAGATGTTTTGAATCAGGGAGCATGATCGCGAATGAGAACATGATAAGACAGGTCGTAGTACAGCTTGAGATGGTGCAAAGACCACCAAGTTTCAACTGTTGAAATAGAATCACATTACGTGAATGACAATGGAACACATGAATTGGGACCGGCGGAAATTAGTTCGTTGAACAAAGTACAACAAAAAGTACTAAGGTCTTGTTAATTGACAGCAGTCAATTTCAATTTTAACCACACATAGAGTAGATTGCGGCTATTATTTTATGCAAAATCGTTTTGCAGCATTCTAACGTGATTTCTGCATTCTAAGGATGCAGACGTTTGGACGACCACTAAAGTGTTGTTCACAGTTGTTTTTACGGGTGGGTCAAGATTAACAGAGCGAAGCACGTGTATGCATGTTTTTTTTTTTCTTTTTTTAGTTCGGAATCCAAAATTCGTAATCCATAACAAACATGTCACCAGTTATAATGTGGCAGTTAAACCACACGTGGCTTAAAGTCAGATGACATTAAGACTTAAGTCACGTGAATAAATTAATGAGACTCCTTCCATTCTGCAAACTTAGCATTTTAAGGCGAGCCATACAGATGAAATTCGTAGTCACGCCATACTTCAACCATGGCAAATCAGAGAAGAGTCAATTTCGGATACAATTGCGACGTAAAATGTTTTTTTTTTTTGTCATTTGTTTTTTCTGTTTTTTTGTTTTTTGCGATATTGCAGGAATATTGGGTTGTATAATCGATTTTATCATCACATAGCCGTGTTGATTCGCATCGAAAAATATCAGAGATATATTAAAAGATATGATATGGTGTCGTCTCCGTTTAAACAAATGATGAAATACGTTGCCTAAAGCAGTTGTAAAGCTACTCTACTTAACTTGTTCTGTTTGTGCAATCGCAAAGGCCTTTGTTCATTTTTAGTCCATTTATACGTAAGATCTCGCTTTGAACAAGCCTAAGCATGTATTCACCCTGTCAAACCACGAGAGAATTCAAACCAGTGGAGTTTTATCAAAACTGTATTGTTCCACATCGCAGCATAATTCAATTTTATAAACTTTGCCAAAGTCTTAATGTCAATATTGTTTTGGACAATAGAATATCGTTTGACTCTTTGTTTGCTTTTGCAGTCATGTTAGTTTGTCTTATTTGGTTTTCACCTTCACCGATGCAGGGATTATTTTGTTTTGTTTTGTTTTTTCCTTTTTTTCTGCGTTCTACCGGGCTCCAGTGCAAAATACTCGTGTCAGACGACATTCATTTTATACCATCATTTCTGCCGCGGTGAAATGAGTAAATTGTCTTTTTTCTATTTCTTTTAACCACTAACTAATTAATCGAATGAATACTAAACCGTAAAAAACGGTTTATGTCTGCTTAGAATATATTCACCACCTCACTCTCAGATTTGTTTGGGGATGTTTTAGTTTTGAGTTTCGCGACATTGTTGCGTCTACCTCCGCAAGCGCTCTGCTAACGATGACAGGTCTGAGATTTTGTTGAAAAAAATTCAGCGCGAAATCATTGTAACCAGAAGAAAACCTTGAAACTCTATTTCCATTTGCTGGTTTGTAATTGTTAATTTAGTATACCTGAAGAATGCATTTTTTTCAGTTAAGAGATCATGAATTGATCATTTAATCTTTACTGTGAAAGAAAGGTTCGATTTTTGTCGCCTATTCCGAGGCGACGATGAAAGATAACTTTTCCTTTTCCACTTTTCATCTTATCTGAAAGCCGTGGGAAAATTTCTTTTTTGGATATAACACAAGTTACTATGGAAACACTGTCAAAGACCCTTAACAAAGTGAGATAACAAAAGGCGTAGTAATATAGTTAGATTCAAAAACTATCCAGAAGTGAAGAGAAAATGGCATTTGAAATGGGTTTTCTTATGTACTGGGTTATGCTGGACCTCTGTTAAACTCGAAAAGTATAGAGAATTCTAGTCAAGTTCGTTCTTCATCAAAGGCCCCCTGAGTGTTTACGATATTGCCTCGACCAGAATATTTTGTTTATTGCCCTAAATATAACTTTTACTATTAGTTGTATGCAAATTAAACTCGATTCCCCAAACCAACTGAAAGTGAAAATGTGTTAAAGTTTCTTGTGTCGACACATGCTAGACTTGAACAAGACGTCGTTTACGCTTCGACTTTCAAATTGGGTTTGTTTCCCACCTCGAGCTAGTTGTCGTTGGTGAAGTGAAAAGTGGATGGAAGTACAGGTACACTTCGCTGCACGGATTACACAAGCTGATGTGATAATTGGGAAGTAAGACAATTAGATGACCCTGAGACGACACCCGAAATCACTTCTGCTCTAGGCTAATAGAAGGAAATGCCATGTCATTGGTTAAGCGGCGATGGCGCTCTGTGATTGGCCAGCTGCGCCACAAAGGAAAGAGCGCGACGCGCTTGTCAAGTGAAGGAGAATCAGTGGCTTATTGAATATGCAAATTTATCAGTGGGAGCCCACTAGGGAGTTCAGCGTAGTGAAACCCTATCGCTTAGTACTACGATCGGTTCGTGGGAGAATACTGTGCTTTTCACGGTTCAATGTTCGAGTCTACCAATGAAGCGCAAAAGTTGATCAAATTTGTCAGGAATTGAACGCCAAGTTCGCAATGAAGGGCTACGTTATAGCGATTGTCTCTGCCCTGTTCATTCCGATAGTGTTGGGTAAGTTGGAAAGTTATTTTCGAAGTGCGTGCTCTGGGGCCATATTATTAACCGTCGGATGCCACTGTTGGATAAATGGCGTTTGAGATCTATCACTGCAACCGTGGTTCGCCTGGGCGGCTTTTGCTATATCGGTTTGGGAATTTCACAACGGATACAGAAAGAATTTTTCTCTTGTGTTGTGTACGGGGTTAATCTAACGAGAAAAAGTAATTGAAGAGACGGTTGGTTTTAATATTCGTGGGGCGCTTTACTTCATTAGGATGTCCAAACTGCAGGCTATATTTACACCTCTTAGATAATTACGCTTGCCATATCTTAACCCTAAACATAGAAATCTGCCATAGATTGAGGTTTATCTACAAATTTGCGAAATGATAGAGTTTGAGAGCCTAGTTAGTTTGACAGAAGACCGGTGAGCGCTGTTTTGGCACTCGATGAAAATGAGGTTAACCTTTTATTGAGGATGACGGTCCCCTGTGGAATTTGTCCGCAGAATTAAGTTTCGCAAATATGTGACCATAAAGTTCTGGTTGAGATTGATGAAAGCTGTCCAGTTTACCGGTAGGGATGTGCTTAACGAGCGAGTTTACACGGCGGAACAGCTGTCCTTGAATCACCTTGTAACATTCAGTCGTATTGTTCTAAGTTCCACCTGGCCTTTCTCAGCTCAACTCCGGTCTTTGTTTGTCTCTTGCAGCCTCCACGTGTTTTGATGGATTTTGCCAGAACGGTGGAACATGTTCTGTTTTTCAGGGGAAAGCTAATTGCAGGTATGTTCTTTTTAGTCATTCAAGATGTCGCGTCAAAGTACGGCGGTTCGGTTTTTCAATCGTTATTGTGTTCAGCACGTGAATTCTTGCCTGCATGGTTTCCGCGCTAGTTGACAGAGCAATGTTTGTTTAGCAAGACAGAAATTCATGTCGTGTAATCTCTCCGAAAACTTATTTCACTAATAGTCAACTTTTCAGAGGGAGCCATTGCATTTATTTCGTCTTATTCTTGTGTCTAGTCGAAACGAATCTCTCGCGCGTTCAACACCTAAAGAACAGCACGGCATTCAGATTGGTAAATAATGATGGCAGATAAACCACAACCCTCCGCGCCACAGACTTAATTGGCTCACTCTCCTTTCTGAAGGAAACTCGCTTAACTTCAATGAAAAAACCGCTAGACAAATCAATAGAAATACTTAATGAAGTTTGTATGACACGAAGCTAGCTGATCATTGATTTCCTCGGCATAATCAATGTTCTGATAGCTAGCAACGGTAGCGACACATGTTTTGTGGGTATTCTTAAACAGGCACTGGCAGCAAACACTATGAATTATTAAGAAAGCTTAGCAGATGTTTTTATTCAACATAAAATTGTCCTCAATAAACGGGGTTTTAAGTGTAATAAATGAGTCAGTGTATATCAAATTGGTGTTGAAAAGTTCCTTCGGATACATGCGACAGTCTGTTCACTTGCGCTAAAGCGTGAGCACAAAATGTTTTTGCTTCAATAGCGTCGACACGTTTTCTAAAGCTTGGACTAATTAGTGGGGCTTTTATGTTGATGAACTCTCGAGACTCCTGCTTATCTGCTAAAAGCTAGTTAAAACATGGAAAAAAAACCGATTGCAATCGCACACTAGCCGATTTTCAAATGCTTCCAGTGGTTTGTTGTTCTGCTTAAGTTGACAGCGTATTTGCGTCTTGAGTAAGGATTGTGTAAAATGAACCAATCCTACCTCTACCCCGGATTTAAAATTTGGGCATAAAATAGTCTCCGTGGGGATTAGGTCTGGAGTAAAGGGCTCCAAAGATTAGTGAGCTCAAAATAGGTGTTTTGCACGGATCTTGTTAACGCGCACGCAGTATATAGTCGGATAAATATTCAAAAGATTTTCACTATTTGGTCGCCTGAAAATATAGTTAACACACGACCTCTCGTATCAATTTTAGAACAAAGCGCAAACTTCTTGTAAAAGGATACTGGAAACTTGAAACTATATTTCCCGCGCCTTTAACATAGTTTCATCCGTCTTTCGTCACTCTCTGATTTGTCTTGCTTGGTAATTAGTTCGTATTTGAGAAACGACATACTGCCTAAGTTTTATTGGCGTTGTCGAATAATCTCTATTTACATAGCCTCTTTCATCCCTGGAATGTTTGATGTAGTTTAAAAAGTAAAAATCGACTATTGTAAAGAGGTTCGTTTCATTTTCTCTAGAAGAGGGGTCAGAACATGCCTACAGCTTTGCGAACTAAGAGGAAGTTAACCAATTTTTTTTCCTCGTCGCGTTGGTCAAATATAACCTAGAATACACAACTAGAAAAGACAATTTTAACAAATGTTGACAAGTTTTCCTCGTATTTTTTAGGAAGTGCGAATGTTTGAAAATGGTGTGTTTTTCATTGCTGTTCCTTAATTTGGCCAGGAGAAAATGGAAAGCACGTTTTATTATTAGCCAACTTTTATCATATTTCTCAATCGTGGCTGATTACGATTGGAAATTTCTTCAGATTAGTGATTTAACGTATGATTATGACTTGGAAACCAAGTGTAATTGAGTTAGCGCGAAGGTTTTTATTAAATGAGACGTCTTCAAAGGCGAACGATCGATCATGGACTTAGAAGATTTCCCAATAGAAATAGAGTTCTTCTTAATATTTGTTGCTAACAACATCTAAAAGTTACGCGATAAAGTTTGATCATCAGGGATATTTGCCTGTGTGGCTGAACCTGAATTGTTGGCATTGAGTTTTGAATATGGCTTTCATTGTTAATTGTTTCATCAGCATTACAAATTACAGCTGGATGTGCCAAACATTTCTTCTTTGCCAATAATGGTATTTCATTTGAATTATGTGCGGCGATTGGTGCTATTTATCCATTACGTTAATAAAATAATGTGCCTCGCAAACGCTACTTGTGTACCCTATTTTGTGGACAGACTTTTGGCATATATTAATGTTAATATGGTAGTAATTTTTGAATGGAAAATAGAGCATGTTTTATTCATTAATTTGTGAAGCCTCGGTGGGAGATTGCGGCAGTATGAAAGCATGAGTTTGACCTTTTTATGCATTTACAGGATTACAAAACCAATCTGGTATGTGCATTATAGCAATTAATGAAAATATCCCAGGGGGTGTATAAAGTTTAAACATAGCATTGTGACCAAAACATCAGGTTTCTTCTTATATTAGAAGCCTCATAAATATGTTTTTGTCTTTAGTAAGCTAAAACATAAAACAAACTGCACCAAATTAAAACACAATATGGCCAAGTGATAATGGACACCTTTCTAAAGAAATGATATTTGTGTTGATGGAAGAGGCTAAGTTTCATTTCATAAATTAACTCTTGACACTCTAACTTCACTTTGCATATATTCTCCATGCGGCTGTCTACAAATTTCTTAAGGCGCTGTCAAGGAGAATTTGTTTTACAATCAAAAGCTTCTTTAGTGATCATTTCCTTTTTTTCTCGTGACCTTTGTTTGATTCAGGGGCGATATTGGAAGGGAAAATTAGATGCTAGTCACTAAATCTTAGAGGTTGAAGAGTGAAATCTCATTGCCATTAATGCATCTTATCTATTTGCTTATTCAATTTAGGGACAAGTTTTATTCTACCACAAGTTTTACATGTTAATATTTTTAGTAACTCAACATCTGATGAGAGCCTTACCAAAATATATTCTTCATTGACAGTTGTCCATCTAATTTCACTGGGGACAAGTGTCAAAAGGATGTGGATGAATGCCAAGTGAATAGTCAATGCAAAAATGGTGCAACTTGTTCAAATACTTTTGGTGGCTACATTTGTAGTTGTATATTTGGCTGGGAAGGACCTGATTGCTCCATCAATAAGGATGACTGTGTGCCTACTGGAAATACCCCCTTGTGTTTTAATGGTGGCACGTGTGTGGATAGAGTTGGAAAATTTGATTGTATCTGTCCTCCTGGAAAAGTGGGCAAGTATAATAGTTTTTGTATACATGAAGGGTTAAGACCCTAAAACAAAGATGAAATTTATATATATGAATCTTTTTCTACTCTACAAAAAGTGCTGGGTTACTTGTGGAAATGATACTAAGGATGTCATGTACTGAGAAAAGGTTGATTGGGTTACAGTAACAGAGATTCTGAGGGTCAAAATTTGTTAGACTCAAAAGACAGCTTTCTTTGTGTACTTGCTAAAGCCTGAACATCCAGGTGTGGTTTTTCCTTTTCTTTTCTGGTTATCTTATATGTGCTCAAATTAATATCAGCCAGGTCCTGTGTGCCAGCATGATGATGAATGCTTTTATGAGCCTTGTTTTGGAGATGCTAGTTGTACAGCTTATGCATTTGGACAATATAGTTGCAAATGTCCAAGAGGGTGGACTGGTAAGAATTGCAGTATTGACATCGATGAGTGCGACCGGAATATAAGGTCACCTTGTGACCATGGTGGCACCTGCGTCAACACTCCTGGGTCTTTTACATGCAGTTGTGTTCCTGGTTACAAAGGTAAATGTTATAACACACATGCAGTTAAAGGAATGAACTAGATAGTAGCAGAGAAGGTTAAAAAGACTTGTTAAAGGATCAGTTTTCCATGTCAATGTGCTGGAGCAGAAGCTAAGGTAATTGATTAAAATCTTTCAAGGGGCACTTGCAGAATTGCACTGCACCACTGACAGGGTGTATATCAGCAAGTTTCTTAGAACTAGATCAACAAGTTAGTGTAAAATTTAGTGGTCAACACAAGAAATTGTGACATGTTCTCTGAAATAAGTCCAAAAGGGTACATCCTGTTTAGTTGAGATGAGATCTAAAGAAAGATTGGTATTTACACGACTTTTCACTGTCGTTGTTCTTTTAGGTGAAAGGTGTGATGTACCTATAGATGAATGCTCTTCAAATCCTTGTAAAAACAATGCTGTGTGCTTGGACTATGCCAATTATTTTGGCTGCACATGCCAACCTGGATGGACAGGCACACTTTGCGATATTAAGATAAATGAATGTGACAGCAGTCCTTGTCAACATGGTGGTCAGTGCCATGATTTACTGAACAAGTACAGTTGTTCCTGCAGTCTTGGCTTTAATGGCACTAATTGTGAGATTAACATTGATGATTGTGCAAACCCAAATCCTTGCAAAAATGGAGCTACATGCACTGATGGTATTGCATCATAAACCTGCACATGTGCTAGTGGGTTTAGTGGACGTAACTGTGATGTAGATATTGATGACTGTTTCTCTGTACCTTGTAAACACTATGGAACATGTGTGGATAGAGTGAATGGCTACTCTTGTCAGTGCACCCCTGGTTATACAGGAAACAATTGTGAACACCAAGTTAATGAATGTGCTAGCAATCCTTGCATGAATGGCGGAAGCTGCACTGATTTGCAAAATGGATTCCGCTGCACCTGTCCTCAAGGCACAAGTGGTAAGCAGATGAAAAGTACCGTAATTTCCGGCCGTTTACCTGCGGGTAATCTGTTGATTTTCCCCTAAACATGCACCACTGTGGGTAATAGGGAGGTGCAGGTTATGTGACAATTTTGAAATCTACTGGAAGTTGAATTGAAAAAAATTTCACCTACCTGCATTTCCACCTCTCAAATGAATTTTATTGTATTAAGAGTGCCACAAACTGGCACGAAAACATGATTCTGACTCAAGTTTATTTCACGCACAATTGCGCAACGAACAAATTTTTATTGGCACGCGTGTAAACAAAACCTTGATGGTGACAAAAATAATCTAAGGGTATCCAGTGCATCAGTAACAAATTTCCAGTTAACACTAGCTTGAGCTGAAGAGAATTTTCCCGCTCTAAGGGACTTGTTAAGCCCAGTAGAACTGGAGATATCGATTTTTTTAGAAATCAACAATTCAACACGGCATTGAACAATTGCTCACACAAAATGTGACCATGAATTGGCATTCTGTTGAGTATGAAACTTTGTGTGCCTTTTTGTACAACTTGTCTTTGCTTTTAAGGTGCGGGTTATCCACCAGTGCGGGTAATCTGTTGACTTTTTTTTTTCGCCGCATGCAATAATCGGCCAGTGCGGGTAAACAGCCAGAAATTACGGGAGTTATGCTTTAAAGCATATATGTTGTTGTATGGTTTGCTACTTGTATGGAGTAAGACTTGGGAAATATTGTTCTTTTGGAGTCCCTTCTCAAAATTGTACATCATCTTCACTGTCACAACTGAATATTGGAGGAATCCATTGCTTCCAGATTGTTTTTCACCATAATCAAGATAGTTTCTACTATGTATTTGGTTATTTGCAAGTACCTGTCAAACCCTTGAACTCCCATGAGTGTCCAAGAGATAATTTCTCTATACAATGTTGATACAACATTAAGCAGTCAAGTGATGAGAATAAAGAAAAATATCAGTTAGGGAATTATTTGCTGATTCAAAACCAAATTCTCGGAACTAACATGATATGAATTGTATAGCAGACAGTAATGAGAATTACTACTGTGATCTTGGGAGTTAAATGGTTGAGATTCTGACCTAATGGTGGTGTACACTGTGCCTTAGTTTTTGCATGACAATAAGAATGGCATTCTGTTTTGCAGGAACAAGTTGTGAGCACAATGTTGATGATTGTATTGGTGTGACTTGTGGTAATGGTGGCACATGCATTGATGAACTCAACAGCTACAAATGTGCCTGTCATCCTGGTTTTTATGGTGACAAATGTGACATGAATACTGACGAGTGTCGCTCACAACCTTGTCAAAATGGTGGCATTTGTACTGATGGTGTTGCCCAGTATCACTGTCAGTGTCCAACTGATTTCACAGGTTTGTATATTTGTTTTTAATGTTTCTTAACTCTGAAGCTCCAACCTTTATTTGGATAGATAGATAGTTTATTATCAAGAAAATACTTTGCAGCCATAGGCTGAATTGGGTACTTTTCACAATTATTTATAAATATATATATATGACTATATAAAACTACAAAGGTCTACAAAAAATTCTAAGACCTAAAATAATTACAATTATGCAGCAATGGAATAAAATGCAGTCGATGCTAAGACCCTAGATTAGCCCACTCGCACAAAGCCAGACTGAAGGAAGACATGAAAACAGATATTGAGAACTGATGAACCAATCAGGTGGAGAACTCTCCAAATGCAACACCCAATTCTCTTACTGTGGTAAATTTGCAATCAAGAAGGTAAAATGTGCCTTGTTTCTCTATGGGGATGAGGAGAATCCCGACGTACATGTGCTTGGATGTCTTGTGGTTGATTTTCATTTTATTTTTTCTACATCTTTTGAAATTTTAAGGTCGAAGTTGTGAAACCAGAGTTGACAACTGTCTTGGAAATCAGTGTCAAAATGGTGCAACATGCATCTCGCAGCAGAATGGCTACTCATGTCAGTGTGCCCCTGGCTTTAGGGGACAGTTGTGCGAGGTTGACATTGATGAATGTACATGCCCCAGCCCCTGCAAACATGGCCAGTGCAGGGATGGTGTCAACAAATATGTTTGTGACTGTTACAGTGGTTACAGTGGTTCTGAATGTAAAACCAATATTGATGACTGTAAACCCAAGTGAGTAGTTCTACTTTGGATTTGAATGAAAGGTCACATTGCCTACCTCATCTCCTAAATGAGTAACTGCATGCTGTTGCATTTTAATATTATATCTTTTTTTGTTTTCTGTTTTTGCAGTCCCTGTTTCCATGGATCAACTTGTGTTGATAAAGTGAATGATTTCTCTTGTAAGTGTTCTCCTGGTTTCTCTGGGAAGAGGTGTGAGCTCCATATAGACGAATGTTATTCACAACCCTGCCAAAATGGTGCAACTTGTGTTGATGAGATTGGTTCTTACAGCTGCTATTGAAAACCAGGCTACTCTGGAAGGAACTGTGAAAGTGTGATAAACTGGTGTCATAATTCTCCATGTAAAAATGGTGGAACATGTAAACAAGACCCAAATGCTCTTGATTTTCATTGTGATTGTCTGACAGGATTTAAAGGTGTTATATGTGACGTGGAAAACATAACCTGCATCAATGCTCAGACTAAACTTACAGATCGAAGTACTGTGTGTTTGAATGGTGGAACTTGCATTGATGATGACCAGAATGTACAGTCCTGTTCGTGTCCTCCCGGCTTTACAGGAAGCTACTGTGAAGTCAACATCAATGATTGTGCTAGTGGACCTTGTAAGAATGGTGCCAAGTGCTTTGATGGTGTTGCAAACTATACCTGCAGTTGTTTGAGAGGATTTGCAGGTGATTACTGTGAAACAAATATTGATGATTGTGCTTTAAACCCATGCGACAATGGTGGCACTTGCAATGATCTTGTAGATGATTACATCTGTTCCTGTCGTGTTGGATATGTTGGTAACAGATGTGAAAGGAATCCAGATGATTGCTTTCCTAACGCCTGTTTCAATGGAGGGCATTGTATGGATGGCTTGGAGAGTTTCTCCTGCCAATGTCCTGCAGGGTATTCAGGAGTGCGCTGTGAGGTTGACATTGATGAATGTGCCTCCAATCCATGCTCTGCACTTGGGACTGAAAAATGTTATTCCTTGCCTAATAATGATTACAGTTGTAAGTGCAGGTTGGGATTTCTTGGTAAGAATTGTGACATTAATATCAATGAATGTTTGTCATATCCCTGTCAAAATGGAGCTGAATGTAAAGATGGGGCTGGAAAACATACCTGCCTCTGCCAGCAGGGATATTCAGGGCTAAACTGTGAACGCCGTGTTTACTCATGTTCAGACGATCCTTGTCTGAACAGCGGCAACTGTTTGACGCATGTAAATGGCAGTTTTTCCTGTGCTTGTGTGGATGGAGTGAAAGGAAGAAGCTGTGAGTGGAATCCGGACGAGTGTCTTTCAGCGCCTTGTCAGAATGGAGGAAGGTGTGTGGATTTGTTGGATAACTACGAGTGCAGGTGTCCTCTGGGATATTCTGGAAGAAACTGTGAACAGGAGATTGATGAATGTCAAAGCAATCCATGCGTGCATAATGGCACATGTGAAAATAAGATGGGTCACTACAGGTGCAAGTGTCCAGGTAAAAAGTGTTTTAAGTAGGGTTTGACACTAACGGTAGCCAACTTGCCACAGACTAGTAGAAATTCCGTTTTGATTAGTGGTTTTTGATTTTGACAAACCAGTTTGGTTAGTAAACAAACTGAAATTGTTGTAACATCCATATTGGCACCAGTCACTTGGCCAGTAAGTTGAAAAGTTAGTGTTAAGCCTTGTTAAGTGAATGCATTTTCAAGGTACTATTTGTACAGGGGAGGGGGGGGGGGTTTGAAGGATGAAAAAAGAAAAACATGTTGACCTGAAGGAAAGGGATGTTTTTGTTTAATTTGCATGCACAACATGTGTAGTCATGGTCAGTGTTCTTTTGATTGATTCCAATTTGTCTTGGATTCATTGTTAACGAAATGACAACCAGTTTCAACCCTATAGCTCTCGTGAGGTGACCTAGACAGAATTTCTCCTTACACTGCAAAGTCAATTCAATAACAAGCAGACAATGAGAATTGAGAAAATTTTCAAATTGTTATTTGATCCAATACTAAATTCTCCAAAGCAATATTATAAGACAGTAAGGAGAATTGCTAATGAGATCTTAAGAATGAACGGTATAAAAACGTTACAAAGGTTAGAAGCCGGTTAAACTCTTTTACTCCAAAAAGATAATGAAGTTGCTCCTTTGTTGTCTTTCCCGCGTCATATTTCCAGACGTTATCTTCTAGTTGTTTTTGTTTTCATTTTAGATTCGCATCACCCATCTACTAGACATTGTCTTAACATTGTAATGGAATTTTTGCGTATTGATCCCTCCAAGGAGATATAAAGTCGTCATGAACAAACATGACTAATTTGTATTTATTTATTTTTTATTTTCAGTTGGGTTTAAAGGGACCAACTGCGAAGAAGAGATGTGCCCCTATTCATACTGTAAAAAAACATTTGTACCGGGAGGGACTTGTAACGTAAGCTTCTTATGTGCATTTAAAACAAAGTTGACTTTGTTCTTTACTGTGTCCTTGATAGCCAATGTTGAACATTTGTACCGGGAGGGACTTGTAACGTAAGCTTCTTATGTGCATTTAAAACAAAGTTGACTTTGTTCTTTACTGTGTCCTTGATAGCCAATGTTGCAGTGCGCGAAGTACGCGCAGCGGAGCCCCATACTTATTATAACATAACCAAAGTAAAGCGCGCGCTCTGATTGGTCAATTTAGCGTCCCCCATTTGCCCATGGGTGTACGCTGCTGACGTGAGCAAATGCAAAGACTATTTTTCCGCGCGCGCTTGTTTTTTCTGGTCGCGTAAGATTTCTTAAATAAAAGGGAACTCTTTAGCTACAATGTATCAATGTTATGTTATAAAACAAATGGTAAACACCACAGCGTACACTATTGAGTTATGGATGCACTTGGGAGGTTTGCTAGGCACTCAAGAAGCTAGAGTCGCTCTCGGCTATCGCCTCGAGCGACTCTTACGCTTCTTTCGTGCTTAGCAACCTCCCGTGTGATCCATAACTCAATAGTGTACGCTGTGGTGTTTACCATTTGTTAATTCGTAATGTCAAGCGCCTTTTGTCTTTTTTCAGGGAAGTTGCAACATTCAGTCTTGCAACTGGGACGGGACTGTTTGTTCCCTTGGAATAAAACCTTGGGCGAACTGCTCTGCAGTTACAGCTAGTGGAGAATTCTGCTACCAAGTATTCAAAAATGGCAAATGCGACAAGCATTGCAACAAAGCTGAATGCCTTTTTGACGGATTTGACTGCAACGCACCCAAGGACGAATGCAGGTATTTACGAAATCTTAAAGAGTTGGGGAAAAAAACGATCACTTGCCCAAAGGTACTTACTGTTTAATTGCTTGTTTGCATTACAGCAATGATGATTATTGCAAGCCACGCTTTGAGAATGCAAAATGCGATCATGTGTGCAACAATGAAGCTTGTTTGAAGGATGGCCTGGACTGCGACACTGGAAAGCCGGAACCGGTGAGTAAAATTGCTTATAGCTGTTTCTACGGATTAATCAGACAGTCGTTTTTATGATAAAGCAAGGAGCTTGCTTCTTCGCGTGAGTGAGGCCCATTTTCAATTAGAAGAAGGGTTTTAACGTTTACCATTCGTGAAACGGTCGGATTGATAAATAATCTATTAAATTAACCTTTTTTCTCTAGGGCGAAGGGACGCTTATACTTGTGTTGCTGGTGCCTCCAGAGGTTTTCCGCAATGGCTCAAGAATATTCATGAGAGACCTTTCTGCGGTTTTGCATACCATTGCATTTATTAAGCGTCAAGGAAACGAGGAGATGATCTATCCCGTTCGACTTGGAATGCGTAAACGCCGCCAAGTTTTTCGTCTGCGTGTTGTTCGAGCAGCAGAAGGAACAGGGTAAGGGTACACAGTTACGTTGCTCTTTGATTGCAGTACAGTCGATTTGCAGGCGGTTACTTGCGTGCAAGAAGCTTTTACTCTCTTAGTTATTTGAACGTGCTTGCCGTGGAACAAACACCTTTACCTATCTTTTATTACTATGTGTTCCTCCGGCCGTAGAAACACTACAACATTGCTCTTTTGTGCAATGTGTTTTGTAAAGAGAGTCGAAGCTGTTGTGCACAAAAGAGACTCAGTGCTTGCTACCGTAGGGATCTTTCTATATGACTTGTCCGTTGGTCGGACTATTGCTGTGTATCTTTTCTTTATCAAAAACTCAATCGCTCAGTGCTCCAGTTCTTTGTGGAACACCTCGACTGATTAGTTCCCTTGTTGTGGCTTTTCTCTCTACAGGACGAAAGTGCATGTACAACTTGATCAAAGAGGTTGCACAGGGTCGGCGTGTATCTCTACAGCCAGCGAAGTAAGTGTTTTTTATTGTTCAAGGATGATCTTGGTTCGCTATCAGTGCCAACCTTGACCTGTGTTGTATGTTTTTAGGCGGCCCGTTACCTTGGTGCGTTAAAGTCGTCTAACAAGCTGGATCTACCCTATCCTTTGTACAGAGTTGAAGGTTGGTACTCGTGTTCTCTATCTATTGTTGTTGTTGTTGTTGTTATTATGATCGTACCTTGTTAAATCTTTTTACGTCATGCATTGAACGTCGCGTTTCGGCCTACAGGAACGTACCGGTTAACACACGCGTACTATTTGCGTTCATGTGACAGTTTTGTTGTTTTAAATGCCTTTATTTCATAATTTTTAATTTTTATTTAGTGGAGGACACCCCCAGTACTCCAACAACAACTGAACCTTCGACGGGGCTGTCACCACTTTATATCGCAATGCTGTGTGTAGGAATCCCACTGCTTATTGTGGGAGTGTTGGCGGGTGCTAAGAGAGTATACGCTAAGCTTTGGGTACCAGAGGGCTTTCCAAGACACCGGCCCAGGCGTCAGCCCTCCACCAGACGTGATCCTGTGGGGCAGGAAGTCTCCATGAGGTGAGTTCAATAGGTGATCACCAGCTGGTTTGAAGAATCAAGTGGCAAGTTTTTTGCCGAGGGAAATGATGAAGACGAAACTTCTCGCTGATTTTGTTTTTGTCTTTTCACGGCAGATCGATAAGCAAGAGTTCGTCAGAAGTTGACGAGGAAGGCGCATTCGCCGATGGCGAGAGTAGCCGGTCAGACCTGACTCCCCCCAGAGAATCTAAACGCGTCAAGCTGGACAATGGAGAAGACTCGCGCAAGTGGACTACTCTCCACAAGCAGGCGGCAGACGTTCGCAATTGCGCGCTGGCTCTGACTCCACCTCAGGAGGGAAGTGGCGAAAGAGGGGCACCGGGCGTAGACGTGGATGCCAGAGGCCCCGGTGGAATGACAGCTCTTCACTTGGCCGCCTGCCGTGGAACCTACGGTGATGGCAGCAGCCTCGATGATGACAAAGACAGCGATGACAGTGGAGGGGCCATAACGTCGGATTTGCTATCTCTAGGGGCAAACTATGGTTCCAAGACGGACCTGGGGGAGACGCCGCTTCATCTTGCTGCCCGGCACTCAAGGGCGGATGTGGCTAAACGTCTGTTGGACTACGGAGCAGATGCGAACGCACGTGACCGCCTCAACCGCACGCCCCTCCATTTGGCCATCGGAGCTGATGCCCAAGGTGTTTTCCAGGTAAATAACAAATAGTATTCACCTTGATTTAGGAAAACAAATGTGTACTCATCATCATCATCATCATCATCAAGCATTCCTGCAGTGTTTCTTTTTTCCAAATTAATTAAATTTTGGTCTTTTTCTCGGGTACCCCTCACCGACTTCATTTCATTGTGCTTTCAGATCTTGTTACGGAATCGTGCCACAGATCTGGAAGCCCGAATGGACGATGGTACCACCCCGCTTATCCTTGCCGCAAGACATGATCTTCTAGAGCAGGTGCGGCACCTCATCAAAGCCGGAGTCAAGGTTAACAGCGCTGACAATCAAGGTTAATTCCTGACTTTCTGTTTTTGTCTTTAAATTACAGTTGATTTTAACGTTTGTGTCGAGTTCTGACATCTCGCTCGTTTTAGGAAAAACCGCCTTGCATTGGGCTGCTTCAGTGAACAGCTTAGAAGTCACCAAAGAGCTGCTAAGAAATGGCGCTAAGAAAGATGCGCAAGACGAAAAGGTTAGTTGAATTCAGATTTCTCATATCAGCACGGTTTGCAGAGAGCAGACGAGTTGCATTTGACTGCATCTCTAGTCAAATTCACCGGACATTTCCATCGTAGTGGTCGACTTGCGATCACGTTATGCGGCCATTGAAAATCCTACGCGCAAGGTATTTTGAGGTTTCTTACTATTGGCCCATGATACCTTGTAGGGAAAGCTCTGCTCGCTGACCGTGCCCTCCACAGAAAAGTTTCTCTTGCCGTTTGCAGCATCCAGGGGATGTATTTTAGTAGACGCGTAACGCGATCGCCTAAGTCGCAATGCAAATGTTGGGCAAATTAAGAAGGAATACTTTTTGAGATTACTTGTTTTTCAGGTTTGAATTATTTGTTGTTTTGACGGTGATTGGTGTATTAAGTGTTTTTTAATTCATCTCTAGGGTCAGACACCGTTGTTCCTGGGTTGTCGTGAAGGAAGCGTACAGACCGTGAGACATCTTTTAGTGAATTATGCCAACAGGAAAGTCGCCGATTCTATGGATATGACACCTGAGGATATCGCTAAACAAAGACATCATCACGACATTGTTGAATTACTAACAGATTGGTCACTTGGGTGTAACTCGCCCAAGGCAGTTCCGGCCCCTACTTCACCCCCCGAGGGGCAAAAATCACCCATGGTTAGTTTAGCATCTCCTCTGGCAACATCGCCACCAGCTGTCGAGATTCCCAATAGCAGCGCTGCAGCCATGGTACAACAATTCCACGCGGCGCGTCCAAAGACGACAGGGAGCAGAACGCCTGGATCGAGACCCAGGCCGAGCGCAACCGGAAATAATAATAACAATAATGCAAAGAGGAAGCGCAAGAAGGCGCGGCCGGACGAGGAAGTGCAGCCGGCCATGAGTGTCGTCCCGACGCTCTCGCCTCCGGGGTCCATGCATGTTGTAACGTCCTGCGCAGCTGGGCAGCAGCAGCAACAGGCGTTTTCGCCAAATTGTGTGCCCATCACGAACGGACTCTCGCCGTTAGGTAGTATTTCTCCCGGCATATCTCCCGCGGATTCAACTACGCTATCACCGCTTCAAGCTCCAAACTCTTTGGATGCACAACCGCCTTCACCGCTAGAAATATTATCTCCCGAGGACCTAGCAGGGTTGGAAGGGGCTGAAATGTTATCTCCCGATTACCTAGCAGGGTTGGAAGGGGTTGAAATTGATTGGGATTCGATTGATCTCGATGATCCTACGGATATGTCCATATGCGGGTTTCCCATGAATACATCATTAGGGCAAGCGACCACTATGGACCACACCGTACCCACTACATCAGACTGTCGGTACATACCCAGTGCGGCACCTGTCAGGCCGTCAGAGGGTCAAAGACTCTACTCGGTGCATAGCACGCCAGACTTACATTGCGGCGGTCTGCAGCCTCCTGATTCTCGACCTTTAGTCTTTAAGGGAAGAACCTGTCATTCGGCGCAAAAGGCGCCTCCACCGCTCTCCCAACAGGCCGCATTTCATGCTATTACTAACTCCAACATGTATACCCACGGCGGTGGCGGATTAGGAAGCGTCCTGCCGTTTAGGAAAGACTATCAAAATGACGATTATTCGATGCATCATCAACAATTGCATCATTTGCCTCATCAGCTTGTATTTCCGGCCGATGAAATGCTTCCTGCACATACACAATTGCGGCTTTTGAACAATTACGACTCTTCGCCTCAGAAGTATTTATCGTCTTTCCCGACTCCCTCACCTGATTCGCCAGGAGACTGTTCATCTTCGTCATCATCGTCTTCATGCTAACCATTTGATTTGTGCCATCTTCGAATTGTTTATCATGACCTGACAGTTTAATGTCACCTTGAGAGTCGTCACAATACATGCTACGCTCAGTTATTTCTACTTCATTCTTGGTTTATTAATCACTAAGCGTATTTATTTATTTGTATAAAAATGACTGTGAAATTTGCCGATAGTCGTAAGTCAGTCTGGCTCTGTACAGAATATCACGCAATGTTTCGTGAGAAGCGTTGCGTGACGCCCCACGACAATTTGTCACGAAGACCCAAACAAGCAAGAAATCTTCTTTTGTTACTGATAGAGAAAAGATAGGTGATGTTTTTTTTTTTTTTGGCTTGCCAGTGTGAGTCGGGGCTTATTATCGAACGAGATTGACAAAGGGGTACGGCCACTGATACTTTAGTAAGTTAAGTGGCGTGCGATGTGGTTCACGTTTCACCCTCTGAAGAGAACTTAAATTGTGTAACGATGAATAAGTAAGTTTGGTAAAACTGTTGTTTTTTAGGTATGCATCATAATGTTACAAGTCGTGTCGAGTTATTTATTAAGCAGTTAACGTTGTAGTTATTATTATAAATAGTCACTCAACTGTGTTTTGGGTGGCCAACTCGGGGTGGGAGGGGGGGGGGATAAATCGACAATCGAGGCTTTTTAAACATACGATAAAATTTTTCTAGAATGAACAGTTTTAAAGTTCTTATCTTACCAGAGGTTGTGTCCAGTCGGTTGAATTTTCATTGGGTTTTGTAAGATATAAGTTAAGGAATGATATTTGGTATGGTATGACCGCAATAGTAATTTAAACGCGGGAAGGATTGCAGTACATCGATACACTGCATATTTGAAGGCGAAGCGAATGGTGATCACTGCGTTTTTTTTAAAAAAAAAATGCAATTGATGTATAGTCGAATAATTGAATTTCATGTAGGAACAAAACACAGAGCTATAGAAAAGTTTAATATATTTTTAAGATGTAAATTAGGGAGAACGTACCAAACTGTAAATACATTTTTTGTATATTGAAAACATTTATGCCCCTTGTACCGGACACACTCAGTTCAATCAACACACCGAAAACATTTGAGTTCCTAATACTTAAGTGAAGGGTCCTTTGATAAGGTTCCGTGATTGTTTTAGCCCGACTAGAAGCTTCGGTAATCCCGTATATTATTTTTATAACTTCTTTTCTGGAAATCATTTAGTTACAGAAACTATGTTATCAACGATAAAGACTATTTTGGGACGGAAAACAATAATAAACCTTGAATTGCGATTGAGAGCAGACAGGTGGTGTGTTGATTAGTGTTATTTTTTTATGATACGGATGAATCGGTCCGATATTCCTGACAAACGTGCGGATTTATGAAAAGAACTGTGAACATTGTTTACGCTTTTGGCATCATTTGGAAGGTGGCCCAATTTCTTACAGGTTGACAGATAATCAGCTGGTTACTTTCCGTATGAATTGGTCGCTTAAATTCTCAATGTAGTAGAGTGAATTTCCTTTGTTCATCTCGTTTCGTTGGTTTTAGGGAAACTTGGTTAAAGACGACTTTGCGAGGTAGGCACTCGATTATTTTCATGGATGTATCAACCGTTGAAACAAGAGAATCCAAGAGTACTTCAAATACACGATCAGTCTTACTGTCAAACCATACGTTTTGGCAGGTATGTAAAAGAAGCGACATTTAACAATGGAAGGTGAATGAGTTAGTAAATATTGACGGATTGAGTGGCCTCGTGGCGTTAAAACCCGTGGGAAAAATGTATATAGAACCTTCCCACACACTTCTTTTCTCGTGCTTCCATTGTGCGGGACATCTGGTCCGTAGCCAATCACTGAGCGAGTTGACGCTGGAACCGTGCAGCACGTGCAGATTAACAGTGCGCGTTGTTCGTAAATCGTCGATTTCTTTCGTCAAAACATTGGCAGGACAGCAGGGATTATCTCTGTGTGGCAAACCGCGTGGTATTTAGGTCACTGAAGATGCACAGGCAAGGGATTCGTTATTGTGCGGAAACGCATCACTGTTATTGTGGAGAGTTGATGACGTTTACCACATGAGAGGAAGCAAATGATGTGCGACAAACCGGAACAATCTTTATGAAACGGCGTCATAGAATGGGAGCTTATGAATGTACCGTTTCTCACAAATCGACTTGTGGAAGAAGCAGAAGACACCTGGAAATAGGGCCCTATTTTAGTATATTAAAATCATTGATAGTGCAAGGATTGTTAAAAGCGCGATTAATGTCATAATGTAATTTTCGTTGTGTTTTGTTTTTGAATGACAAGTCGCGACTCATAATTGTGACCCGGCAGATGTTTATTGACCATGCTATTTATTTGTGATGACAATTTGAAGCATTTTTCTACATTTTATGTGACAGAACACGAATCACGAAATCTGCTTTTTTTAATACAAAAGTCGGAGGATTTTTGGTTTGAGTGAGGGATGTGGATTACGTAAACTGGGAAACCGAATTATCTTCCGTGCGCTCCCGTTTAAATTATGTTTGATTGTTTGAGCAGATTTGGTAGACGCGGAGTCAATAAACGCTCGAACGATGTCAAACAAAAGGTATTTATGTAAAACGAATCTAGTTATTGACTCTTAGATACTTCAATTTGACGCTAATTTTTCAAAATATGTTTGAAACAACATGAATAACTTACAACGTCCCTTTCTTTGATTTATGTATGTTGATTGCTGGACAAGACCAATCTGGATATGATGGCTTGAAGTTAATTTAAACCCCCCAACAAAGCTTCTATGGAAACCACCATGCGAAACCACAAACAAACTCTGAACCAGCGAGCGCGGCAATGTCACAAGTTTTGCTTTCTTCGGATTGGCTGAGAGCTCTATGCAAGAATTAACTTTCTCTGCCCTCTCCAGTTGTCACCCCTTGATAAGGGGCGGCGCGCACGGTGTTGTAGAACTGTCCTTTCACTTACGATAAGACCTCGAGCTTCCCTGCACTCTGTTCGCATCAACGTGAGCCTCCTACCGCGCCCCTTGGGGGATGGGGTGGAGGCTTATGACTTTCTTAGGCTTGCAAGAGGGACGTGGAAACGGCTTATACTTTCCGAAAGCTAACCTGCCGATCATTTTTTTATCTGAATTTACCCCCATAGTCGACATATACCCTATACAATATGGATTTCTTGGGTTCAAAACCTAAAATATCTTGAAGGGTACTTGTGCAGGCAATTTAATTTTACATTGAGCTGTAAAGCAACCTCGCCCAAACGAATGACGATGATACTGCTTTTTTCTTACTTTGGGGAAGAGTGGGGTTCGTTAGGAGGGAAGTTAGTAGAGGGGAGGGGTTTTGGAATAGTTTGACATACACCAAGCGGAAATCCTCCTAATGAGAGATTAGTATTATAGAAATTTCTGCTTTCTTATCTTTTTCTATACGTTTTATGGAGTGGAATGAAAATAGTTGTGTAAAACCAATGCGCATTCCCCTTTTTTTGTGAGATGGCGGGAATTCACGGCACTTTGGTAACGAGGTTGGTGGAACTACTGTATCCCTTCAGATGGGTGTCAGCGTCAATGACCAGAATCATTGATGCTTCGGAGACAAGGTCAGAGAGTGCAAGTGAAAATTCTTCTACGGTTTACCCGGGATTCCAACGTGTGCTGCAGTGTAAACAAGAACGTAAGCCCCACGTCCATCAGTCAAGCTGGATTGTTGGAAATAGTTCCTTCTATAGGGGAATCCTTTTTTACAATATTTGCCTCATTAGCCTAAGCAATTCAGTTTCTGATTGAGCTAAAAATAAATCAGTTCTGAATATCGAAAGGTAAAAGTACGATTAACTCGGCCAATGAATACGAGCCTGATGCATTGAATACTTTTTGTGCAACACCGGTTTAAAAACTCAAAATTTTACATAGAATGTATGAGCTCATTAGCGCTTTTGCCACCAAGAAATTTTGCAGTTTTTGATGGACTATTTCTCCTTGAATATTACACCCAAAGAGCTAAAAATTTCACCATGTAGTAAGGTTTTCTTGCTCTTTAGCTGCCTGAAGTCAATTTGTATCTAACATGCTTCCTTCTTTACCCAAAGCCGTATGCAAATGAGCAAAAATGTAAACAATGACGTCAGCATGAATCCGCCTATTGGCAAGACACTAAAGATCGACCAATATCTATCACCTTGGTGGGGGTCAGAGGATGTTTGGGGGATCACATGGGTTTCCTGAGTGAAGGAGGAGTGATCAGTTTTGGATAACAGAGGGATTTTATAGATAGGGGATAAGCTGATACCCAGAGCTTCCACGGCCAAGTGCTTGTTTAGTTTCAGTTATACGGCAGGATCTGGGTACGAGCTAAAGAGGGGATCATAAGAAATCCCTCCACCCTCTCCCATTCATTCGTAATCTTTAGTAAAATCCTAAAATAAAGAAACTTAATAAAAATAAGGTCAGATTTCCGCCTTCAGAAGACACAAGGGAATAAAATTACAACAAGTTAGTGCAAGTACCGGCCGTCCATTTCAATTCACACTGTCACAAGGACTGGAATATTGTTAAGTGATAAGAATCTAATGGATTGGAAGTAGTACAGTAGAACTCTCTTGAACTTCCTCTATAAACTATGGGACAAAAATGGTCGATGGCGGATTGAGTTCGGTTCAATCTGAGATGGATATTTTTCTTTGGTGAATTAGAAGCCAGATACTATTCTTCTCAATGACCTGTTATAGAAAGAAGTATTGTGATTGATAAAAACGTGATTGATAAAAACGTGATTGATAAAGACGTAATTGATAAAAAGTATTGTTTGGTTTTAACCCTTGGAATTACATTTCCGAAGTTTTTATCCCCTCACGACTCAGTTCCTAAAACTCTAGCTTGTCTTAAGCGTTCAGTCAGGGCGAAGAGAGGTTGGCCTAACCTCTCTGTTGGTATATCGAAGCGCAATGGAGGGGAGGAGTGAGAAAAACGAGCTAGGTTTGGGTCGAGTTGCGTTCTTTACCCGACCCGCCCCAAGCCTCCCTCACTTTTCACTCGTCCACTTCTGCGCGCCGTATGATATTTCGCTCCGTTTCAGTCACTGACGTCTGGAGTAGACTACTTAAACCGGCTAGGTTTTCCAAGTCAAATGCAGACAAATTCAGTACTTTTTGCGTCGTCTGTCAACTTTCTTTTCCGACTTAACTGGGCAATCATGTTCTCATTGCAGAAATTTGTCAATGTCTTGATTTACACATATTTTCACCTCGTCGTTCATTGCTTAAAGGTCAGATATTATCTTTGTTTACTATTTTTTAATCAAAATGGTAACGAGCGTAATTTCTTTGTTTGGAAGCTTTGACTCTCGCTCTATTGGATATTCATCTTCGGACAATCACTTTCCAGAAAATGACTGGCTGGTGTTCTAAGTTTAAACACATATGCGACAAAGCTGGTTTATTCAACTTCCTTCCATTTTTTGTTCTCTGAGATCTAATTCCACATGAAAGAAATTTTGCGTCATCCTTGAGTTTATCTCGCAAACCGTTTAATTAACAGATCAAAAGGAAAAGGTTTTGTTCCAGAGAATAATATCAACACCCGCGTGGACTACAGCTGTGAAAAACAATACAGTTGGGTGCTTGGAGCGGCAGGTGTAGTACTTAGCTGATTATCAACACGGAGATTATAAGCGGACCACCGTAGCGAATTTTGAGAAGCTGAAGTGTAGAACTTAAGCAGACTTCGAACTCGAAACGCCAGCTTTTCAAAATTCGTTAGTGCGGTTTATTTCCCTCGATAAACTTCTACTTAGTGGTCTGTTGTGCACTTCATTTGTCCACCAATGTAACGCGAGAGTTTCTTTAGAAGTTAAAACTTCACAGCAGGTGTACCGATGCCTTGTACATAATGATATTAAGGAAAACGATCCCATCAGCGTGTTTCATCTAAGAAGCCATGATAGTTTTTGATTGTTGCAAGTTCGTTCTTGCTTGGGAACAACATGTTGCTTTTTATATTTCGGGAAATAAAGAAAATAATGCACCCTTTTTGTCTGAAGGGGGGTAATCATTGAAACTTACGGGCGAATTTGCACTGAGCCCTGTGAAAAGTTTGAAAGGTAAATTGAATACGGTGAGAAAATGTAGCAATTCGAAGGCGAAAAAAGAATTGGTTCATGTTTTTTGCGGTGCGTATATCGAGTCATGGATGCACTCGAGACGTTTGGAGAGCATTTGGGTAGCTAGATATTGACTCAGCTGCGCCTCGATCGAACAGCTCTTACGCTCTCCTCGTGCTCCCTAAACTTTC